GTAAGATCAGAGACTCCTCAAAAATAAAACTGCTTTAGACTGGTTTCCACAATGGGAGAAAACTATTAAATCTGACACTAATATAAAAGACAAAGAAAATGTCCGATATCCCATCAGACAAGAGCTGATTTAACATCTCTGCTGATTGGTTTTCATGAATTATGTGAATACAAACTGGAAAAAAATCATAATCAATTGTGCCAATCCGAGTAAACTCTGAAATCATAGAGAACTTGTTTTCACAACAGAGGGGAATTTTCCAAGGAAATAACACTAATCCTACCCACCTTACGTACTGTAGAACAATGAATTCTGTTATATTAGGTCAGCCATCAATATCTAAGAAGTTTAATGCTGCAGATGTCAAGGCTCCAGCTGATCCAATGTCATTTTAAGGTCGAGGTGAGTGTACATTACATGAATCATGCAACATTCAGTAGTCAATGTTTCACCAAAACAAGAAGTAATAAGTGGTTTGATGAATTGGAAAACTGTTTATATATAGTAAATTATCATATACAGTTGAACTTAGGTATCTCGAACACTGATATCTCGAATAAATTTGGAAGTCCCAACTACTTATTCTTTAAGTATTTTACCCTCGATATCTCAAATCCTCGGACATTTCGAAGTTTTTTCTCGGTCCCATCGAGTTCGAGATAACAAGGTTTGACTGTAATGTAAAATAAAATGTAATTGATGAGTTCAAAAACTGATGGGCAAAGTGTCGATGTCTTATTTACATTTTGCAGTGCTGACAGAACCATTCACTTGGTGTGTCTTCTGGGTCAATATCAACACATTGAAAATGGAACCAATCATCACATCCATCACATGCTATAGCATTTTCTATACATTCATAACTGCATCCTCCACATGGGTATTTTACTTTTTTCCTCTTTTTCTTGGATTTACCCTTGCCTTTTGATGGTTTTCTTTTACTGCAACCTTTTACCATGTTTACCTCTGATGATTTTGAGATTATATTTTCGTGGTCACTTTCCTCTAGCTGAAAACAACTCAATGTACCTGATCCAGAACATTCAAGTGAGAGACCTAAATTAAAATAAAATGAATAAAACTTATAATGACTGAAAAGGATAAAAATGAAATTCAAAAACTTGTTTTCACCAATTAAGTACAACCTGGTAACCTAAATGATCAATTTGGTGATTACACATAATTTGTAAATTAACATAAAATCGGCATTGAATTTGAACTTTAAATATATTTATGTTAAATAAATTACAGACTACCTGGTCTTGAAATAGACTTGCCAAATGGATTGCTTTGACATGGATCAACCCCTAAATGGAATAAAAATTATTAAACAAAGGAACTGCAGAGAAATATTTTTTTGATAAATTGTATACTTTTTTACAGGTATGAATTCTTCTAAGGGAAAATCATAATTTATCTCATTAATTTGAAATAAAAAATTTGCTTTACTTCATCTGGAAATATTATGCATAAAAAATATTTACCTCCCATTAAATGTTTCTCTTGTGGCTCTTGAATAGTAACACTAGTTCCTGGTTGGTTCACATTTGCTTCAACTGCCTTGACTTCAGAAGACCCTGGGCTGACTAGTTCTGTAAGGACTGAATTATCAGATCCACTGGGCTCTACAGTTGTAAAATCAGAAGAAGTGTTGCATAAATAGAGTAAAACATATTTTCCTCACAGATAAATAATGAAAACATTTAAACACGAACATGTAATTAACCCTGCACTGTTATCTCTCACCGGCCATTTTAATGTAATATATGTATTTATAAAATAAGTGAAATATTTTTGATTCACTCACTAAGAGCATCTGGGTTTTTCATGGGATCGGCTTCTAGAACTGCCTTAACCAATGCCTGGTTGATTTCTGCTTTCTTCTTGTTTTTAGCAATCTTTACTTCATGTGCACTGCAAAGATCTAGTAGCTGTGATTTTGTGCAGGTTTTTTTCCAGAAAATTAGGCTGCTTTAGCATTTCACTATTTATTCTTAGGTGAGAAGCTAACTTATTTACTGACATATCATTTGGGACCTCTTTTAAATTAAAAGACTTTTTGTTTTTATCTTCCCTGTTTTTCAGTTTCTGTCTTAATGCTTTTGATTTTTCCACAGAGAGTGCTCTCAAGAAATCCTTTCTGAATTGATTCATTGAAACTTTGATGAACAGATTCATGAATTCTGTGTACAAATAAACCAGAGTTTTGCAAATTTTGCGATGGTCACAAAAAGGTGCAACACCTTCAATGTCATGATCTGTGTTTTCCTCCTTAAAGTTTCTGAATAAGTCCGTAAAGGAGCTTTTTGAGTGCAGATCCTCAAGTAACAGTTTTTTCACAACTTTAAAAAATTTTGATTTGGTGTCAACAAGTTTTTCATATGTGAATAATTGCCGGGATTTCAATTCTAGTTGTTGAAAAAAACTAAATGTTTGATCACTAATATTACACAGGCGTCCAGACAGATTCTGCTTTCTTCTTGTTTCCAGCAGACTTTCTGGATCAGTAGTGTTGTCAATTAAATCTGCTTCTGTTGAACACAAGGAGTTTAAGAGGTTCTTCTGACGTTCGCACTCCTCCATCACTTCCTCCTTTCCAGGGGCAAAGGCTGATCGCTTGACAACACACGAGTTTCTATATTTCAACTTTGCAATTACATATCCTCCAATATAACGGATTTTCCCCCTTCCAGGTCCACTCAATGGTTTTATATCTTCAGAAATGTTTTCCAGCAGAGATGGAATTTCTTTTTTGTCTCTTTTAGCTACTTCTTTTAACACATCACGTTGTACTTTAAACATAAAAGTTGTCATAAACCTATATAGATCTTTTTGATGATAATTGTTACATTTTGTGTGTCACTTCTGAATTGATCAGAGGAAATATATTTGTTGAATTGAAAGTAAAATTTTCTAAAATCAGATTGGTTGAATTTGCACTTCTCAGTGGGAAAGACAGTACTGCCAATGTTCTCAACTTCTCTTTTGTGATTATGAAAACCTTCAATAAATGGTTTAGGTGCAAGGAGGATTTCATGCTGCATCGTTACAAAGAGGTGTATCTTCAAAATCTTCCATAATGAAGGTAATGACTTCCATTTATTCCTCTGTCTTGTTAGCACTCTTTTCGTGAACTTCAATTTCTTTGACAATGTCATACTCAAAGTCTGACAAGTCTGATTCATCACCTTGACACCGATCATCTTCAACATTATCATCATCATCATGGTCCTCATCTTCATCATCATCGTTTTCCTCTTACCTTTTCTTCTTATTGCAGCAGGTACAGTCATGTCTATTTTCTCCGTAATGACACTGGAGGTAAAAATGTTGAACTGCCGCTGGATGAGCACGACACATAGAGGGCTTGAAATTTTTAACACATAATCCATCAGCGGTTTGTGCCCTACCAATCGCAACACCAATTTGACCAGGATATATAGCATTACTGCAATCAACCACTAAATTCTCAATAGTCATACCTTGAGATTTATGTATGGTAAATGCATAGGCCAGATTTAGTGGAAACTGCCTTCGTGATGCAATGGTTGATTTTGAAACAGGGTCAAATTTACTGAAAGTAAACTTTGTAATTTTACTGTCCGAGACTCACCAAATAAACAAAATGTTACATGGATAAACTCATCCTCTATAGTTTTCGCAATTCCTATTTTCCCATTCACTAGGTGGTCTGTTAAATTTATCAGAAGCATTACTGGGAATCGAATTTTCACTCCAAAGTATTTTGGAGCCAAGAATTGATCACACATTTAACTGTCTCCACTGTCTTCTGACTTAAATGTATGAAGTTCACCAACAAGAGACTTTAATTTGTTGTGGTTGAAGAGCATAACATCAATGTTTCTAGCAAATAGGTACACAACACTTGGAGTTCTCTCTGGAGTTAAGGGTCTGGATAAGGAGTTTAAAAATGCTATGGTATTTTGTGATGGAAGACCCTGTTCCATTTCATTGATAGCATTTATGAGATCAGTCTCCTCTTGTCTGTGGATTGTTTTCAGATTGATTACATGAGGGAAGACATCTTTAAACCAATGTGCTAAAAAGCATGGATATCCAAAGTCACCATATATTTCATTTCGCACCGGTTGTAATTGATAAAAATCCCCAACTAGCACAACTTGTAGGCCCCCAACAAATAAATCCTTATTTTTTAAACCTCTGCACACGAACTCAACCTGGTGTAAAGTTTTCCGTGATATCATGGAGACTTCATCGATAAAAAGACAATCAGTTTCTATAATGTTTTTTGGCAACTTCAAACCTTTCATCTGTTTTCAAAAGATGTAATAATTCTTCATTCTGATGACGCCCATCCTCCAGACCACACCGTCTGTGAATAGTACATGATTTAGTGATTTCCCCATATAACGAAGCACCTAAAAAACATTACCTTGTTCTTATAATTACATGTACTATCAACATATCTGCATCTAAAGCCTTAGAAAAAATGTTTTATATGGTTACTTAACCAACAACATTTTTTCCTTGTAAAATCTTACCTATCAACCAGAATTATGTTTTATAAGCTTGTAATAGTAAACAAACATTTTTTTTTCTTAGGCCTAATTGAAAAGGTATTTTGGGAATTTTATAGATGATAACGATTTTGAGTTATTTGCAGGTGTTGAAATACTTTGTACTTGTTTTACTTTACAGCAGTGAGGAATAGCCCATTTGGGATATAATATACTGTATCCACGTTTAAGACAATGACCCCAAAGCAGAATTCGAACTCTCTAATGATTAATCTCACAAACTGTCCGAGTTATAGAAAAAAATGCTGTATTTTATGTATATCTTTGCAGATGTGTATGTATATTTCTATCATAATTTAAAGTGTAAAAAAAACTTAAAAAAAAAAAACAATGTAGCTTTATATGGCATTCAGGGTTTTATATCCCAAACAGGCTTTTATAATCCGATTCGGCCAATTGGTCCAAACCTATAGGGTCGGAAAGTCTCGTCACGTGACTCGCGAGATATAACGTGAAAACTTACTTCCGGGCAGTTGCCAAGGATGGCTTTATCAATAATGTACTGGGCTCGGTACGTTGAAAGCCACACAAAACTTACCAGGAAAAGTGAGAAAGCTGTGGATAGCGACAGGGTTTTAAAATTTGTGTTAGATAAAGAGTTTCGCGTTATTACTGCGGTTGTGCAAGCGTCAATGCGAGACACATCTTACAAAGTTCAGGTATGTACATTCGATTTCGCATCAATACATTAGAACAATTTCAAACTATATCTAAGAGTCTGTTCAAGATCTTTAATGTTTATAACTAAAAACTGAGTAAAGTTTATAGATTTAAACTATTTTTTAATTGCGGGCTGTGGTAATCCAGCGTCTTGGCCTCCTCCACCTCGCCCAAAGAATTCATCATGTTTACAATTCACTGAAAATATTCCGTAAAACATGTAGATTTAGTCAGAGAGTCTAGTGTTGCAAAATTTGACCAAATTCACTATCGATTATAAAATTGAATCAGTAGCATACAATCAATTATACGATCGAATTTAATTATTTAATTTAAAGGTTAAATAAAGTTAACCAGCAAATATTCAGATATCCTCGAAGATGAAAACAATATTTCAATACAAATCTATGAGACCAACTTCAGTTTATACTTAGTAGGAAAATTTGTCTGCCATTTGCAAGAGAAATAGGGGAATATCCTTTGATAATGTTAAAAGATGAACCAGTTTGTATTTAAAAAAAATTTTTAAAAAATGTAGCAACTTTGATTTTAAAATTTTCTATCAATTGTCGCTGACTTGTTGTCTTCAGGGATGATTTTTCGATAGTCGGCGATATCATTGTAACACTATGACAGAGACTTGTTTATTTTATTTTATTTTTTTTTTACTTTTAACAGATATTTCTGGAAAATGAAGAAAACAGTACTGGTACTATAAAGTCATCGACGTGTGAATGTCCAATGGGCCAGTTTCGCTGCCACCATGTAGCTGCAGCTCTTCTGTTTGGGTACATGAAGCATATTCTGTTAATTCATTTGTTTAAAAAAATGCAACAGTTTTGCAGCTTGAAGTCCGATTTTTTTTTATTTCAGCTGAATTTGTCAATATTTATATTTTGTGTGTTTTATTTTTTTGTCTATTCTAAATCTAAGTGCTTTACTAACTAGTGTATAAAATAATCCTTTAGATATAAGAGGGCAAGCAAGACAGATGTGAAGTGCAGCTGGATCAAGCATCCTAAATCTGCTCCTCCTAAAGCCATAACAACAATGGGGGAAATGTATCCACCCAGGCAAGATTATAGGTAACTCACAAGCACCTTTGTACATTATATATTTGGTAATTAAATAATAAATGAAAGGTTGTGTTATTCATTTGAATATTTCATTCTGTAATGAATACTTGATGTATATACATGTAAATTTAGAGCATTAAAAAGAGAGATGACAGATGCAGATAGATCATATTTGTATGATCAGCTAGGTCATTTGGGTAGATTTACAGGTTTGCTTGATGAACAATATTTTTTTCATCCTTGTCACAAGGGAAACTGTTTCCTCTGAATCAAGGCTCATTTTATGATTTATTTTTGAGTTAATGTTACATTTTTGTTATTAATGGATTTTCATTTATTTTTTAAAAAGTTACATATTTTTTTTTATGTAACACTTTCATCATTTTTAAATTTTCTTTTTTAACATGTCAACTTAGTGTGGCATATATTTTGAGAACATACCGGTATATCATCTACCTGTAATTTCTTTGACCTAGAACAAATATTATTTCCATTTTAAATGTTTTTCATTTTTTCTTAAGTAAATAATTAATACATTGTAATTCATAAGGTATTTTAAGTATAGACTATTCACAATGACCAAACATATATTGTCAGCTAAATAAAGTACATAACAAGCGTTAACTTACAACATAATATGTTGAAAGTTGTGGCCAATGTAATGGTAATTGCTATTTCATTTATTGCAGCTATGCACTGGATTTTATCAAATGAGCCTGAGTGTGAGGAAATGCCAGCATTACTTATTGAAGACCAGCTCATAAGTGAAGAGTACTTGAATGCTCAGTGCAAGTCATCTTATTTAAGGTATTCAAATTCAAATAAACAGAATATGTAAAAACTTGTGCTCTTTGAAATAATTCATTATTTTTGGCTTTTAAAGAAATGAAGGTGTAAAAACAGATTTTTTATATATACATATATACATATGATTTTTAACATAGGGAGAAACTTGTCATTTGTTCAGAAAAGATTATTGAAACAGCATGGCTGACTACAGGACAAAGAGAGAACTCTTTATGGGCAGCTGTTCGCAAATTGAGAATTACTGCATCTAATTTTGGACAAGTTATTGGTGCTATTAGAAGAAATCGGTAAATAAAATTTACAATGGTTTATTTAATGTACAAAAGCATTACATTTTAAAAATAATATTACTGAATTCTTAATGTGTGGTCTTTTTATTAATAATTTTAAATTAAAACTATGAAATTCATTTTTTTTTTCTTGTAGGCTCTCAGTATCATTAAAGAAAAGATTACTCAGTGCATATAATCTTGAGAAAAGAGCTTCTATTCAGTGGGGACTTACACATGAAAAGAGTGCAAAAGATGACTATTGTAAACTTTCAGAGGTCTCGATATTAGAGACAGGTAAACAATTATCAAATTCAATTTAAATGTTTTTAAAAAATTATCCTACCTGCATTTGCTGTGATGCAAGTTGTTAGCAACACAGGTAAAATTTTGCATCAGTAGTGACCTTAAGTAATAATTTGGAATGAACTGGTCCTTTTCTACAACTTTGTGACATAAAACAATTTACGTTCAACATTAGATGCTTGTTTTGTTTTCTCATCAGAACATCTATTTCATCTTTAATGAAATGAAGAAATTGATCACTGAAGAATAAAATGGTTTGCGATGTTATGTACATGTTTTGTGATATTTACTTAATTCCCTTGATTTTTTTCTATCATTAAGATACGATTGATAACACATCCATTATTAAGTATGGAATTTTGCCTCTTAATAATCATGATAGCTCAGTTAGTTGTGTTTACTCTGTGATTGGTCACTGCATAATGATGCCGAGTAAAGGTCGAAATTAGAAGCCCTCGATATGAGTGAAAAAATTACCCAATGGTATGTAAAACAACATACATAACAAATATGGTTAAATTTATATTGTAGTTTTTAATTTCAGGCATATGGCTTCATGAATCAGGTGTTCTTGGTGCCTCTCCTGATGGATTTGTCCAAGGTGATCCCAAACATTTGAAGATTCACCTTCAAGGAAAAGTGAGTGCATCACCAGATATTATAGAGGTTAAATGTCCTTTCTCTGCAAGAGCAATGTCTATCAAGGATGCCTGTACAAATTTGAAAGATTTCTTTCTAGGTAAGTACAAACCGATTTGAAAGTTTTCTAAAAGAGCCTGGTATATGTAAATTAGTTCTCATTTTTCTTTGATGAAACCATCTTTCATGATTTATGTCTAGATAAAATTATCCTACATTATTTTAGTGAAAGAATAGATGTCGATCTTTTGAAATCATTTTAGAGTGTGACTCTGAGGGTGTCCTGCATCTTAGAGAGAATCATGATTATTGGCACCAAGTTCAAGGCCAGCTTTATCTTACAGGCACCACTTGTTGTGATTTCGTAGTTTGGACACCAGTAAGCATGGAAGTCATTCGCATCCTTCGAGACGAATTATGGGAAATTCACTTGAAAAACATGATTGAATTCTACTTTAATGTGTTTCTACCCTCTCTCCAGTAAAATTTTGACTGACTTTATATTGTACATGAGCATACATGTATATTGGTGCACTCAAAATTTAGCTCAATCCTCTTCTTCAGTATGATAAGCACAATCATAATCTCAGTGCGATTAGCATTTTGTTTGACAAGTAGTGCTTGCTAATAGCATGTCCATAAATAAGTGAACATGAAGCAATACCTAAGACATTAAATTATGAATACCACCAAAGTAAGTAACTATGTTTACTGTAAACAGATCTCTTACATTGCCTTCTTCCCTTAGTGCAGTAAATAAAAAGAGAATTTTAATTTTTGCCAAACTGTTTAATTTTATCATGGTTTATTTTTTGCAACTAATGATCAAAGCAATCATTATCTTAAGCATGCATCACCAGTGTGGAAATTTTGAACAAAATAAGTAATTTAAGATGTACAATTGAGTCCTTTTCACAAAAAAGTAAAAGAAAAGAAATATATACAAACTGCAATTCTAAAGATGCAATATCATTAAAATGAGATCTATGTAATTAGGGTCAGACAACATTTTTAAAACAATTTAATTATTTGAAAGGGACGTATAGTTTATATTAAGTTTATATAATTATATTATGCATGATTTCTGAATACACAACATCCTGATTAGACAAGTGCCACAGAATACATTCACTGTAGCATATATACATGTAATGTTCATATATAGTAATTACAATACATGTGAATTATATAACAGTTTTTCTCTAAAAAATAAACATATTGTTTTTCAAAAGTAGTTTTTCAAGCTTTGATTGATATTAAGTTTATTTGGCTTCTTTCAAATGCACAACTGATGTTTCCAGAATTCTATGATGAACTGTGCGCGCATAATTTTACATTATCCTTGTGTTACATGTACCCATTCTCAAGTGTGTTGCTAATGCTGAGGATAACATTACAAATTGTTTAATATTTCTTAAACAAATCTGATTTTAGTATTTAACATGAAAGTATAATAATGAATATAAACATTATAGAGATTTTGTGTACATATTTAGCATGTTTGAAAAGATACAAGTTAGATGTTGTGTACTACTTTAATTCACACCAGTTCTAAATTTCATACTTTTCTGCTATTTCCTTCAACAGAGGAGCTTGCAAATTAACAAGAGCTACACACAGTTGGAAAATTTTAGTGGCAAGATGTCTGTATTGTGCAGGAATGTGATCTAGAATACGGTAGTTCTTGATTCTTTCATTTGCTCGCTCCACATGAATTCGACTTCTCCCAATCTTGTAACAAAGCTGTGCTTCTTCCTTTGTGAAATGACATTTGGATGACAGGAAAGGTGGTATGTTTAATGTCACTCCTGGTGGAAGCTTATCAAATATGTTGAAGCCCTTATCTGCAAGGATCATATCACCTGGCTTCAACATATCCAATACACCACAGTGATCAACAATGGCAGCATCAGAGGTGGATCCAGGATAGAGTTCTGAACAATACACTAAAGCACCATTTGGTGCTACACACGTGACAGCTTTTACTGTATGGCGACTTTTGTAGTTGCTGTAAGATAGCGACTGGTTATTCATGTCTGATGGTACATCCTGTGTGATTTCGGTGGCATCCATTGCTATTCTCGCAGAGGAAAACTCCTCAAATGATTTGGGCATTGACCCTTTGCATTTTAACTGGGAGGGTATCCCAACAGCCTTCATCACTCCTTCAAATAAAATTTCATGCAGCGCTGTAACATAGGTATTCAATATGTTGGAGACAGTACTTTTACTGGTGTTAAATCTTTCTGCTAAATCCAAATCCCTTAAATTAAGGCGTAACTTCATAAGAGTCATAAGGAGCTGGTCACTGGTACTGATCCCTTGTACCGTCCATCCATTATAGTATTGGAATGGGGCCATTCTTTCCAACAAAGACACCAGTATATTGAAAACTTCTGAGGGAAATGAAGTATATAACAGCATCTATAACAAAGCAAAACAACCATTTATAAATTATGATCAATGAATATTGCCACATGTATACTATTTTTATACAAAATAAACATCTTGTGTAAAAACCGCCATTTTCAACTTCAATTAAAGCACCTCAAATGGAGTCTGATTTACAAATGCAAATCAAACTCCAAAGGTCAAACAAAATCAAAATTGTTGGTACCTAAGTGCAAGAGAAGGTTTTGTCACAAAGAATACATCTGTGAAATATGAAAACCCGAGCACCAACCTTTCAAAAGTTATGGCCAAGATTAAAATTTTTCAACTGTATGTCAGACAAAGGTCAAGGTCAAAATTGTTGCTATCCAAGTGAAGGTCTTTTCACAAAGATGTGAAAACCTTGGAACTAACCATTCGAAAGTTATGGCCAAAGTAAAAAGTTTTCAAAAGTGGCTCGAACTCCAAGGTCAAAGGGGGTCAAAGATGTTGGTATCTAAAGGAAGGTCTTGTCAAAAAAAAAATCCACTTGTAAAGTATGAAAGCCCTAGCATCAACTGCTCAAAAGTTATGGCCAAGGTTAAAGTTTAGTAAAATTTTGCAAAAGTGGGTCAAACTCCATCACAAGGAATACATATGTGATACAAGAAAGCCATACATTGTAGGTCCAACCAGTCAGTAGGTTTGGGCAAGGTCAAATTTCTTGCGGCCAAACAGACTAACGGACAGCTAATCAGACGGACGGACACAACAATTAAATCTATATGCCCCCAAATCTTCGATTAAGGGGGCATAAAAATATGCTCAAATAACATACCTTGTCTGGGTCCTGTATTATGTTGCAAATTGTAAAGGCTTGTTTTTTCAGTTTTAGTGACTCTAATTCTCTTTGGAGCTCTTTCACTCTTTCTGCTAAATCAACACTTTCTGTAATGATTACAAAACAATATTAGCAATATCAACATTAAACCATAGTAGGCATTTAACATCAGGGTGGTATATAGTATAGTATAGTATAGTATAGTAGTATAGTCAAATAAGGGTAGTAGCTAGTGTATGAATTAAATTTGGTACTGAAAGAAGTTTGAACCCCCCCCCCCAACCCACCCCCAAGCATGATATTCTATTTTCATATAAGGCTCTATAAGACACATAAATATGTTTGTGAGGCCACCTTTAAAACAATGTTTGTTTTTCCTCTCCAGAATCAGAGTAAAAAAATAGGATTGGTAGGGTAAGTTGCACCATGTCGGTAATTGTTGACGTAATGAAAAAATTCAGAAAAAAGTTCTTAAAAAATTGTTTCCTGGAGGTTATGTAAAAATTTTGTGTAGGACCATTTTTAGCCAGTTGGTCTGGAGAGGGCAAACAAACAATTTTATTAAGATAGCCTGACTTATTAAAAATAGACATAATAATATAGGCATAATACAAATAATGTCCATCTGATATAATTTTTTTTTCAATACCTTTGGATGCCTCTGGAAAATAAGCAGTATAACTGTGATCAGCGTGGATCCCTCCTTCACACTGTGAAGTTGTCATTGCACATTCTCCATCAAACCCTTCTGTCAAGCATACAAATAAATTACACACAAAGTAATATTTTTATGAAAAGCATCATAATGAAAGGATAAATTACTGCAGTCTTTGCAAACAATAATCTTACAGGGCATGCAAAACAAACTGATATGAAAATATAAGGGCTCCAATACTTTAAACCTTTTGTGAGCATGACCCAGTGGATAAATCAGGTGATAAGTGAAAGTCTTGCCAAAATGAAAATTGTTTTACCTTCAGTACTTCCAGAAACTGCATAGTCGTGGTCATTGTGGTTTAGCTCTGCTTGTCTGGGTTGCTCTGTATTGAGGGTTCCTTCTGTTTCTGTTTCAGTAATTTTGCGTCTGTAAAATATTATTTTTATGCTCTTCAATAAACAAATATATATATTTTAAAAGTTAAAAAAAAATAATAGTTATAAATATACAATTATCATTGAAAACCAAGCTAACTCTCATATACATTACATATAAATGATACATATACATATATACATATAAATGAAGGAGGAGATGAAAAAGAGTCATATTGACATAAATTTTAGAAAGCAACTATGTATGAAGATCTGTCAAGTAAGAAATATTTACCTTTTTGGCTCGACAAAGTCAGGAAAGCAATTATTTTTGCTGTATACAAAAATTGTCGGCCCATTCTCTTTTCTCCCATCTTTAAAGTGGCAACTGCAAATTCGATCATTACTATTGTATTCTCTATCTGCTCTCCTGAAAAGGTTGAGGATAAATTCAATACTATATAATCAAATTAATAATTTAAAAATTGTTTGTACAACATTATTTAAACTCACATCTATAAATAGCAGTTAGTTTACTTTCATATGTTTAATGTAAACTTTTGGTGTAATGCTACATCGTATCCTGTATGACCGATTAGCTAGGGGTGTCCACACTGTGGCTCGAACCTACAACCCTCAGATTCAAAATCCAACGCTCTACCGACTGAGCTAAAGGGTTAACCCACTACCTAGTGCTAGTAGGAACGTGGCCTCACTATATACAACACATAGCCACTTTTAACTCTGTTACACTTCCCCCTTCTTGAGATTTCTTACCCCTGAGGTATCTCACACACGAGACTCTATAAACATCACTCACCATGTGGGTTTTGTAGTTGAGCGCCAATATGACTGATTAGCTAGGGGTGTCCACACTGTGGCTTGAACCTACAACCCTCAGATTTAAAATCACTCTATTTACTGAGCTAAAGGGTTAACCCACTAGCTAGTGCTAGTAGGAGCGTGGCCTCACTATATACAATGCATAGCCACTTTTAACTCTGTTACACATGTATTCTCTTTATTATTTTGAATTAATTTCATATTACTAAGTATAAAAAATATGAAAATAAATTGGACATTAAGCATTTCTAATATGGGTCTTGTCTGAGAGATTATGTATGATACCAGCTGATTTTAAAAGTTCTGTTAATCATGAAGATTGAGACAGAGTGAAGACATATAAATACAGAAGATAATTTTAAAATAATTCTAAATATTAATTTGCACTGAAAAGTCAAGCCACGATTTCTTTGTTCCTTTCTTAAACAATCATCTGACAATTTCTACTAATTGGTTAAATTTATAACTATTCCCTTGTAAATACAATGATATACATGTATATATAAGGCCTGCAAAGTTTTGTTTAGTATAGGCCTATAACCATGATAACATGACACGGGGCTTGGATCTATCAGACAGGTTTTCCAGTTTAATGTTTTGTTAAAATAAGTATTATCATTTGTATACCTGCATCTATCAATCCATTTCTTCCTCTTTTTTGGATCTGTAGGAAATCTGAATAAACTACATGTTCGATTCGCGCCAGTCATATGGGTACACCCGAAGGCAAAACACAGCGGCATCTTGGTCTGCTGCCCGGAAGTTGCAAATCGAAAATGAAAGTAAACGAGACTTTCCGACCCTATTGTGACAGAGATCGGGCTCGGGATGTCTTTGTGCATTACGTCAGCCGGACTTTATCGTAATGTGATACGATAGCGGCCAAGGGTAGTCCGGGTATACATGGGTATAAATACGAGCGCTCTGCAGAAAGCTGGCAGTTGCCAGTCGGAGCGCAGTGTAGACGGTCGTTCAAGGCATAATAGTAAGGTACGGCGGAGGTTAATAAGGCTTGTAATTAATACAGTATACGGTGTCTAGTATACTGGGTTTACATTACTCAGGTTAATAAAGTTGTAATTACTTTTCCTCGAATTTTATTAAGATCTGTCTATGTACAGAATAGAGACTTCGATGATCCGTACCTGTCCTGGAACTGATACATGCAGGACACAGACCTGTCTAAATACAGGACCTATTCCGGATTTGAGACCCGTACCTGTCCTGGTACTGAT